AAATCTGCTCACACACAAACCAGGCCTCAAAAATCTGCTCATAACCAAATCAAGGCTCAAAAATCTGTTCACACCCAAACCAGGGATCAAAAATCCGCTCACACCCAAAGCAGGGATTGAAAATCTGCTCACACCCAAACCAGAGACCAAAAATCTTCTCCCACAAAATCCGGGGGTGTTTCTCCTGATATCGTGAGCCCAGCCCAGAGGGAGAGCTTTGCCTGGACACACCCTCACCCCCAGCCTTCCCAAAACCAGGCTGCCTGCCCAGGATTTATCCAGTAAAACCCAGTTTATTTATCCAGTAAAACCCAGTTTATTTATCCAGTAAAACCCAGTTTTCCCCACCAGCTGTAAAAATCCTGAGGTTTTAATGCGGGGCTTGAGCCAGCAGCTCTGGGAGAATCTGATCCATTCTGGGAGTGACACAAACCCTGGAGTTTGGGCTCAGGGCATCTCTGACACAAAGRGCCCACGGTCCTGAAGGGTCAGAAAAGGATTTGGCTTTTCTGAACCAGAATTTCTTCGGATCCTAAACCTGGGGGAGGGCAGGAACRTGGGGAAAACTTCCTCTGTTTTGTGTTCCAAGGACCAGACTTCAYTTCTCACCCCTTCCCTGTCCCAGCCCTTTCAGCAGTGACTCCAGCTCAGTTTTTTTTGGGTACAAACACTTTTGGTCCCATTGGCTCTGTCCATTTTTCCAGGCTGCCAGTGGTTGTTTCTCCTCCTCCTGCAAGAAAAAACTCTGGCACTTTTATTTGGCACCACTCGGTATGATTTGCATGTATCCAAGCCCTTTCCCCCCCTTTTTTTTTTTTTAATTTTTAAATTCTAACTCTTTCCAACAGGCACGAAAAAAATAAAAGAAAAAACGACTTTCCAGTGAATACGGAATATTTCTGTTTGAAATAAAGGAGCTATCCATAAACAAAATAAATGATAATGTTTAATAAAGACCCAACGCTGAATTGTTCTTCTGTCCAGATTGAATGCACAGGAAAAATCAGAGGACAAAGCAGTGGCCAGAGCTGCTGGTCTGGGTTATTCAGGCACAAGGTGGGCACAGAAGCACCATAAAAGAATCTTTTCAATTTTCAGTATTGCCAGTGTGTAAAATCAAGTGGGAGGAAGGAATGCTGTGAGTGGGATTGGTGCTCCTCGGGGGTTTGTCTGCAATATCAGTGCTCTGAAAGRAGGAGAAAAATGCTCTTTGTGGGCACCAAAGGCTTAAAAAAACCATGGCAGGGGACAGGACATGGGAGATGAGGGAACACAGGGAGTGAATCAAGAACAAGATTTCTCTTTGAAAAAGAAAAAGGGAAAGAAGGAAAATGAAAAGGAAAAAAGGGAAAAAAAGGAAAGGAAAAAGGAAAAGGAAAAAAGAAAAAGAGAGAGAAAGAAAAAGAGAAATATAAATGAAAGAAAAAGAAAAAAAGAAAAAGAAAAAGAAAAAAATAAGAAAAGAAGGGGAAAAAAAAAGAAAAAGCAGCAATTTCTTTATCTTCCCAGGTACCTCAGCACCAGGCTCCCTCCTCCACCTCCTGCACATCTCAGGCCCCTCTGCCTTGCTTAAATTACTCCAATCACCAGCTCCTTGCTGTGAGTTTTTTATCTGCTCAGTATTTGCACAGGACCCAGGGAGCCTGAGGAGCTGCCTGGACCTACCCAGGTCACAAATTTACCGAAAAAAAAAATAAATAAAAGAATAAATTCACTTTGCATTTCGAGCGAGCTCTGCATCTTTTATTCCTGCTCGGCTCCAAGCACCCAGGAGGCCACTCTTGCTGCGCTTCCCCTCCAGCTCAGCTTCCACCTGCTGGGAAAACACATCAGGCACTTGGGACATCATTTCAATATCTCCAAAGGAGATTCCATCTACTGGAAAACACATCAGGCACTTGGGACATCATTTCAATATCTCCAAAGAGACCCCTTGGCCTTTGCCCTGTGCAAGTGTTGCACACTCTGCCCCACTGGTAGTGCCAATATTGCTGTGCCCAGGGAGGATTTATCCCTCCTGAGGCAGAGGAAGAACTGGAAAGGGTTTTTTATTGATATATCCGTGCATGCTGGAGGATGCACCAAATCACTTTCATGGAAAAAGCAAACAAAAAAATCCAATCTGTGGTGGAGAGACCTGGTTATAAAATCTGTGGCTCATCAGCGCTTCCTCCCAGCGTGRATCAGTGCAATTATCCACTTAGAGCCCTGCAGGGTAATGATCATCCTGGGAGCTCGGCAGTGGTGGCTTCGCTTTGGTTTTTTTYAAGGAAGAGGCGCTTCCCTTCCCAGCTCATCAACATCAAAACAAGCTCAGGGCTGGCTCCAAACAGARTCCACGCTGCTGCCTCGGGTCAGGAGCTTTTAACTGTGCTCACATGGAGGATTCAAGGGCTGCAAATCGCTGCTGTTCGAATATTAAAGCAGCGTGAGGTCATTTCTTGTCAAAAAGAGGAGGAAACGGCCACCATGGAATAAATAAAGCATGAAACGGCCCAGCCTGGCTCGGTTGGTTTCTGTCTCCAGCAGCACCACGGCTCTGCCTGGGCACGAAGAGAACCAGTCTGGGGAGGAGATTGATGCCCTCAGCAATGAAAATGTAATTGGAAATCATTCCGTGAAGATTGAGGAGCCCACGGCGAGGGGGGTGGAAACAGCAGGCATGGAATGAGAGAGGAATGGGAGAGAGAAATGGGGAGGAATGGGGCAGAAATGAGAGAGGAGTGGGAGAGAATGGAGAGAGGAATGGGAGAGGAGTGGGAGAGAATGGGAGAGAGGAATGGGGGAAAAATTGGGCAGAAATGAGAGAGGAGTGGGAGAGAGGAATGGGAGAGGAGTGGGAGAGGAATGGGAGAGGAATGGGAGATGGAGTAGGAGAGGAATGGGAGAGGAATGGGAGAGGAATGGGAGAGAGGAGTGGGAAAGGGGAAAGGGGAGAAGGAGACAGGAATGAGACAGAAGAGGCATTTAGGAATGAAATGTCTTCCTTTGTCGTGACAGCTCCACAAAACCCACAGCTCAGTCGCTCCTGATGGGTGGGGAACTGAGGGTGCTTTGTTTACAGTCCCCTCTGGCAGTTCTGGGCTTTTATTTTTTTCTATTTATTTATTTATTTATTTATAGTTAATTTTAATTTATATGTATATAGTTATATATTTATTTTTATTTATATTGTATTTATACAATTTTTTTTCATTCCCCCCTGTAAATATTCAGGGGGCACAGCAGTTTCATCTCCAGCTCCGTTTATGGTTTCCCATCAAACTGAAAATGTGATTTAATAGAGTCAGAAGAGATGCAACCTGTTCACCACAGCCTTTAATTATGTGGGCACAATTTGCTGAGTTTTCTCAGCTCCTAACAGCTTATTGATCCCGTGGCTTCTGTGCCATCCTTCTGTGCTGGTTTATTAACTCAGTCTGGGCAGAAAATCAACCTGGGGAGTCTCTTCAGGGAGAGCTGGGTAGGATCAGCAATCCTGGCCAGGCTTTTTCCAATGCAGCTCTCAGGGAGTTGTTGTTGGGAGCAGGAATAGATYGGAGGTTTATGAAAGAGGAGGGAAATATCAATTATAACTCACTGGAGGTTTGGGCTGGGTGTTTTTCTCTGCATTTTTGCAGGTGTGATGTGAGATCCTGTTATTCCTGGCTCTCCCTGGGTCAGCTCTGTCCTTCCCCAGGGATAACCAGAGCTCCCCTGGGGCTGGACAAGGCTTTGGGGAGCTGCTCTGTGATCAGGATTTTGCCATCAGCCGTCCTAAACACAACCTACCTAATTAAAACCTCAAAGAATCTTATTACAGGCACRAATTCCTGGAATAGACACACAGGGACTCGGGGATGTGTGGATAAAGGAAGGGATAGGGGCTGTAACAGATGTGGAAAATCCAGCKGCACCACCAGGAAAGAGCCCCCCTCTCCTCTCTGGCAGCTGYTCCTTGGCTTGTAACTCACTCCAGGTAAGAGCTGCCATTCCAGATTTTCTATAAATGAAAATAAGGCAGGAAAGGATCAATCTGTGCATCACACTCTGCTGCCCCAGGGCTCTCACT